TTTTTAACAATGAAAATATTAGTTACATTTATATGCAATGCAAGCTTAAGTTAAGATAAATGCATACATGTTCAACTTTGAGAATCATTTAGTGATTTACCTTAAATATTAACAAAGATATCTTTGGAAGCTTGGAACAGAAAATTCTGTTTTTCTATAAAGTTATATTTGGAGATGTTTTTAACTTCTAGTTTTGACTCACTCACCACATTCTGGTCGACATCTTTACAGACGACGCTGCGACCTCCGACCTGGACTTCGATTGGCTTCTGTAGAATCTTCCTGGCAAGAGCCTCCATCTGACGTGGGAATGTGGCAGAGAACATCACCGTCTGTCTGTCTGGCCGTATGCTGTCCACGATTTTTGTCACCTGTGTGTAGCACACAGAAAGATTCAATAAATCATTAAACATCACAGAGAGTAGATCAATGTTTAACACTCCTACACAAACTTTCAGGCTTTGCAGTAGTTTCTGTTAGAGAGCATAAAATTATTCTTTTTCTCAGAGTCACCACAATATATTTGTTTTACTAACCTGAGGTTCAAACCCCATGTCAAACATTCTGTCTGCCTCATCCAACACAACATATGTACACCTTCTTAAGTTGGTCACACGACCTGCAAAGAAACAAATATCAGACTGGGGGAATTAGTACAGTGTTTCTTCAAATAACATCTCTAAGGGAAAAAACCCATGTTTTCTTCTTATCTTGCGTAGGCTTTTCACTAATATAAATCTGATATTGTAAGTTTTAAATATGAATTGTAAAATATGATAATGTGGCTTTCTTTTTTTGTGCAGCTCATGACATAACTTGTTTGACACATATTGATATATCAGTAGTTAAAGCTGGACTTAAAAGTAAGGCATGCCCGAAGATTCTGGGATTCCTGTAATATTTTCAAAGATAAACAATGCATATTCATAATTTTAGTTTATAATAACTTAATGCCTTATGCACTGTCAAGAATATATCTTTTAAAAAATATGTCATCAAAATACTGTATAAACTGAAAATTTCAGCAATAAACATTAGGTGAGGAGTAAACCATGACTGATTTTACAGTAAACGTTTGCATGCATCATTGTGATATTTGAGTCCTCTTCTCCTGTATCTCACCATAGTAACAATGATCTCCATGGCAACTGATCCATTGTAGAGGTGAAGGTCATATGAGGTCTGAAATAAACTGTTACAAGAGTTGTCCTATCCTGGTCAAAAGAAACAAAGGTATTACACTGTATGTGTGGAATACTGGTCCCCACTTTCACCCAAAACAACCATTAGACGTACCCACTGGGCTCACAATCATCTATTTACATTTCTCATCTAGTATTTTGCTTTCCAGTAGTAGTTGTAAACACTAACTTCTAATAAACTGACATTATTTTTCAGAGCTAATTAAATATGCTGTATACCATGTAACATACATTTTCTGCTTATCATATTGTTGTGAAAATATGCCAAGACATTGCAATTTATTTTCAACTTATGTAGTCCTATTTTTGAGATCGCTCTATTGGTTTGATAAAATTCTTTAGGCTATTTATCAAAATGCATATTTAATGACAATTTCATGCATATTTAATTTTTTAAGACATAAGAATATTTACAAGAAAACATCGGACTATCTTGAAAGTAACCTGTAACATGGTACGCCCTATGTAATTACCATCCATATTCAAGATAAAACAAAAGTGTATAGAGGACTTATAAACGTATCATTACAACACTAACCGTTATTTGCTGATAACATGTCAATCATCCGTCCTGGGGTACACACGATGATCTCGCAGCCTCGCTTTAACTCAGCGATTTGCTCCGATATTCCCGTCCCCCCGTACACACACACTGCCTTCAGTCCCAGGGGTTTTGTGAACTTTTTGCACTCTGAGGTTATCTGCATGGCCAGCTCTCTTGTTGGAGTCATGATGATGGCTGAAATATTTTAACTTACTGTGTGATTTTTGTCTATATATACATATCAAAAACACCAGTCATGTGTGTTGAGACTATTTGTTTGAGATTATGCCTCTAATAAAAATTGTTCCCTTCAAAGAAATCTAACTTAGTCTTTATACGCTTCGCCAGTAGAGGTGATATTAGTTACCTATTGGTCCGTCGTTCTCGTCCAGGGGAGGTTGATCCAGGATGTGTCGGAACAGCGGCACCAGGAAGGCCAGGGTCTTCCCACTTCCTGTCTTGGCGATTCCAATCAGGTCTCTTCCTGACATGACAGCTGGGATTGCTTGGCACTGAATTGGGGTCGGCTTCTCAAAATTGTTTCTACAAAATATTACCATATCATAAAATAGGAAACTTTTATCATAGCCAAACTGTGTCCTGAATTGTAATCTATTTCTTCTTTTTTTCTTTCTTTTAAAGTCATTTAATCATCTAACTACAAAATTATTGGAGCTATGAATAGTACTGACTTTCTGAAGACCTCCATGATTTTCTTGCTACAGCCACACTGGGCCCAGGACTTGATGGGTTTGGGGCAGTTCTTCCCTCGCACCTTGATCCCCTCCAGTTCTGACCTGTAGGCGTCCACATCTGACATAAAAAAACAAAGTCTAGGTTAAACCTCCTCGTATGAGTAATACAGTGTGCAATGATAACAAATATTAAATACTTTGTTAATCAACTGTAAATTTACAACAATTAGCATCCTTTTCATTATTAGCTCACAAATCATGAATTCATGCACTTGGACCCATTTGGTCCTATATAGGTACTTGTTGCAATCATTTATTTACGTATATCTGGTATTTAAATACTGCGGTTTTATCAATATTCGTTGAGCACCAATTTTTGAGGAATTGTTATTGAGCAGATCCACAAATTCAAATGTTCATTGAGTTAATAAATATGATATTCATTTGTACAGGCAATGCTTTTGTCTACGAAATTACGTATCCTCAAAATCGTCTGTTTTACAAAATCCAGGAAAATTGCTGCCAACGAAAATTGATGAAACCACAGTAAGCGGCAGTAGAAAGTATCCTACCTTCAGCACTCATGTTGGCAATCTCTGGAACTTCTACATAAAAGTTCTTCCTGAACGCAGCGTAGTAAATCTTGTCATGATTAACCACAATGGCATCCTGCGAAAAAATACAAAATGATGATGTGTATGAACTCAATTCTGTTTTACATGCATCAAAGTCAAGTTTGAAGTAGATAACTTTTACTTTTCAAAGTGTAATGTTCATGTTTATTTTGTATATTTGTGTATGGTGCACATTTAATATTTAGTCAAACATATAAAAGAAATACCTGTAAATTTGTAGTAAAATGTGTCATGTGATATAAATCACTTATATATAAAATGAGAAAGCAATATACACATGTAGATTTTTTGTACATGTGTGTACATGAATTTTAGCCAGTATGTCCCCTTGTCATATTGTGCCATATTGAACAATATAACTAAAGCATCATCATCTTAAGGAACTACATATAAATCACTACTATAATAACTGTTGTACCTTTTTCTTCTTGTTCATGTTCGCAAACGTTGACTCAAGGTCCTCTTCCTCCTCTTCTGAAGAATACTACAAAGTAAACAAAATAAAGTAAACAAAATAAACAAAACAAAGTAAACAAAACAATGCAAACAAAACAGAGTAACAATATAAACATAACATTAATTTCTATTTTTCTAGTTTATTTCTTTTTGTAATTTTACTATAAAGCTGTTATCAAAACTTGATAAATTTACACTGTACACTGACTGGTCTCTTTATAGACTTCTGTCTAACAGCAGAACCTGTACAACGTGTCTTCATTCAGTTTCTTACCTCCATTAGATCTACATTATTCTCCATCAGTTCCCCTTTGTCTTTCTCGGGTTGGACCTTTTTCTTGGCCACTGCTGTGATGATGGTGACTTTTCCCGTACTTTGTACTCCGTCTCCCTAACAATAATTATAATTCATCCTTATAAACTTCACAAATTCACTGATATCTACTCAATTGTGACCGAAATTAATGATACTTAGTTAAGAAGAAATGATACTATAAAAGACTAATTCACTTTTTTTTCTAAACACGACATTCCGGTACATAACTTACATTTGGTTTTTCTTTTTCTTTGGGTTTAACTTCTGTCATGATGTCCTAAAAATATAAAGAAAACTACTTTATACGTTTTCTAAATCATAAGTTTTATTTTACACAGTTAAAATTCCATATTACTTTGGTTATTTTACCGATTTGCATATGCAAATTATCCATGGAATACAATACTAGTATTACACAGAGACGTGTATGTAACATGTCTTAAATACAAACCTGCATGTAATATACAAGTATTACATAGAGACCTGTATATTTTACACGTATGTGTCTGCAGGTAACACACATTATATACGTACCTGCATGTAAGCGTCCAGTGGGTCGACCTCGTCGCCATCCTCCATGTTTTTCTCCTCTACTTCCTCCTCGTCGTCATCATCTTCGTCCTCTAACGACCACTTCTTACTGACCGGGGCGATGTTGATCGGGATCAGTTCCTGCTTCTTTTTCCTCTCCGCCCGCCATTGCTCAATTCTCTCACGACGTTTCTGCATCTCCATCTCCAACCTTTTCTGCTCTTCTTCCTGAATATAATTACAATAATTCCTTTATATTGTTGGAATTTTTAATTGTGGATGATATAACATATACATGTACTAGTAAATCTAACAAAAATAAATTTGTTCTTTAAACTTAAAGAAAATTTTTGGGGTTAGAATTTTTTTTTCTTTTATTGATTTCTTTTTTTGACTGTATACCAACATGGGGATGTTAACAAATATATTGAATTGAATTAATTTTTTTTATTGTATTTGGTTGCAAAAAACAAGTAAATGAAAAGTTTGTTCTAATTGTTTTGCAATAGTTTACATAAACTACAAAAAATTTTAACATATATCCAGTTAAAAAAAAAAAAAAAATGTAAATTACATTAGTTTTTTAAAATTACATTATATTTGTTTTACATATTAAATATGTAAAATTATGTAATGGAGTTTATAAGCAGCCTTAAATTATTTTCTTGCTGTTTCTGTGATTATAAATAAATATTCTTTTTTCAATCTTTGTCTTTTTTATTAACTTGTATGTACAAGTTTACATGTAAAATCTGGTCAATCTTTCACTTACACAAACAAATTATGACATAAAACTGATATAGGTGTGTGTATATATCTTTATGACTGGTCACCTGTCACAATATACACAGGTTTAAATATTACAGGTGTACCAGGTGTGACAACAATCTCCGGGTAGCCACACCTGTCCCCTGTATACCTGGCTGTGCTCACTGAGCTGTGTCCACCTGTCAGCTGAATTTACAGTTAACTTCCCACCCCAATAAGCAATGTTGTGTCACCCCCCTGCTGTGACAATTCATCAGAGTGGGTATTTATAAGACTATACAGAGAATCAACCATCACTGCTATCTAAGTCTGAAAAGTATACAGGGATTAGACAGAGAAAGTTAATCCACCTATAAAAATACTTGAGATTCTAAGTTAATAGACTAAAAGGCTAGCCTCTCTACTAGGTATTATTGTTTTTTTAATGTAAGATAGAGAGGTAAATTTTAAGATGATGACAAAGATTCAGCAGAAGAAACTCTTACTGGCCAGTTCTGATGTTTTAACTGATTTCCTCAAGAACTACAGCAAAGCTGGACAACAAATTCATTGCCTTGGTAAGTCAACCCTATAGTAGTTCATTTCTCTCACACAATTTTCAGTTTATTGTTTCACTATAGATATGAAAGAAATGATTCTATGTAGCATTTATATACTGGGTATCTATTAATTAATCCTGTTTTAGTTTAAAGTAACTTTTATAATTGTATTTAGTTATTTTGTAGTTATTTAACTATTCTGTGTAATAAAATGTGTACCTATTATATTTTAGAATTACTTTGTTTTAAATTTCTTTATAAATTTTGAAATTCAAAATTAAAACTTAATAAAAAAAACAAACATATTATTTCAATTGTACCTAGAAAGAATGTCAATTTAACATCAATGTATAAAACCCAGTGAATAAGGAGTTACTGCAAAATTATAGCTCATTAGTATCATTTAAGACAAACAACCTAATTCTCTGACAATTACAAAGGACTGCAGAGATCCTAATTAATTAATTTCTTTCTAAGTTATTACAAAGGTACTCAAAATGCACTTTCATATGCTCAAACACCTAATAATAAGGAGATTAAATTTCAATAATGATGAGAGGTTTATAGTATATCACTAAGACTCAATTCCCCTGGCTTCATTCTTTATCATTGCCCAAAAGACTTAACACATCTAGTCATGACAGAAACTTTTGTACAACCCTCTACCGCAAGGGAAATAACTTTGATCCAGCACCTGCTGTCATTACATGACAAGGCTGTCCTAGAAATAATCCAAATCAGTAAGTCTCGGGAGTCTTTTGTTTAAGTTTATCTAGCATTTTCAAAATCTTGGGTACACAGAATGAAAAACTATAGTTACTTCATAACAGGGGTCCACACAACTTTTATACCTTGTACAAGAAACTAAGCTGACATTACAAATACAAGTATCACCTCTGTGATGCCAGGCATACTTTTGAAGATTGTGTAAAAACACTGGTTTTTTTAATTCCTTAATCCTTATCTTGATAAACTAAGGAATTAAACAGCATGTTGTGAAAGGGACAGATAATCATAAAATGTAGTGGGAATCTTATGGTATTTGTAATTTTTGTTCACTGGACAAATGAATTAATGACATGACAATCCTTTGTAGATGAGTACACTTCCCAGCTGACAAAACAAGCCATTGCCGCCATGAGGACAGGAAACAAGGGGAAAGCACTCCAGCTGCTGAAGCGACGGTGTGTGGCTGACGGCATCAAACACATGTACCGCCAGTATCGACAACTCAAGTGGTCTCAAGCTCAGAAACTCGCACTCAGTGTGGCAAGTACCATCAACCCCGACATCACCCTCCCTCAACGTCCCCATGACAACCAGGAGGGGGTGGAGGAGATCCAGGTGGAAAAGTTCGCACAGACAATGATGGTGGCTCAGTGTAACTTCAGTAGGAACAGTTGAACAATGATAGCCCAGTGTAACGGTTAAATATCAACAACAATGATCTGAAGTAACTTCAGTCAGAACTGTTAAATATCAACAGTGAGTATGGCTCAGGATAAACACTAACTTAAACAGTCAAATATCAAAGAGAAAGTGGCAAGGTCCTGTCACAACAAGGAAAATGGATCTTCAATCAGAGATTATCAACATCTAACAGGATGCCCCGGTACCATAGTGAACAAAGTCAAAGCAGTTAAACTCTACATCATGATAGAAAAGTGAGGAATCCAGAATCCTACTGGACTTTTCTTAAAATCTGCTCTATTTAAAAAAAAATAATTAACTGTCATTGACATTGGAATGTTTATTCTAGTCTTCATACCTATTTTTAATGCTTTGGTTAAACAAATTTGTGTACACTGTTCTTTACAGATGCAGTGCTAAAAATTGTAAATAGTGTCTAGAGACTGCTTAAATGTGTGCTGAATGTTTTTTGTAGTGCTTGAATAAAACTTGAAAGATATTACTGATTTTCTTGAATTTCCAACTTCAAAGTAATTCATAAGATGAGTTCTGAAGTCAGTGTTTGAAAATACACAATATTACATGAATTTGGAATTATAGACCATAATATAATTTATTGTATACTTGAATAGATAAATGGATGATTACTGGTAATAAGGGCAGAAGGTTTTCACTTAAATCACTTATAACTTTGAAACCCTTTGATGATGAAAGAAAAAACTAAATTTATTTAATATTTAATGAAAAAAATTGACATAAAGTGGAGAAGAAAATTTTGGAAATACATATCGCTGTAAGGTCAATATTAACTGGGCACATCCATATTAATGAATACTTTGAGTTATAAGTTCATTAGTCCTCACCTTTAAGGTGGCCAGTCTTTGACATTGGTCCCCCTTATGATAGGTTACCTACCTTATCCAACGGTTCATCCTTCACGCTGATCTCTCCTTCTCGATGAGTCAATTTTCTTGCGGCCTCAGGAGATGTACTGCGCTTCTTCTTATCTGGGGTTTTGGATCTTGACTTTCTACTACATTGATAGAAAATATAACTATAAAATCCACTATCAATGGAAATCATTTCAATTTTATGGTCCTTTTTTTTCTATAGGAGTCATTAAATGATATAACAAACCTTTTTTAAAAAAAATTCTGGAAAATTCAAAAGTAAGCATAAAAAGAAATTGAAAACCTAGTTTGAAAAGTTCCTTACTTTCTGTCTCTAGATCTCGACCTCTTTGACCTACGTCTATCCCTGGATCGTGACCGCCTTCTATCCCTTGATCTTGACCTCCTTCTTTCGCGAGATCGAGATCTTTTCCGCTCGCGAGATCTGGATCTTCGGGATCTTTCTCTCGATCTTGATCTTCTAGGTCGACTCCTCGATCGGCTGCGTCTCTTTCTCTCCCGTTCACGAGAAATGCTTCGTGACCGAGATCTTCGTCTGTATGATCTAATGATGAGAAATGATTTGGACAAATTAATCAATAGAATAACAGTATTTTGATCTGACATCCAGCTGCCAACAATCTAAACCTAATTCAAATAATTTTTTCCAACAAAAAAATGTTATTGGCCATTTTTAAATTTGAGTGTGATGTTATAAATAACACCCTTGAAATATCTCTTTTACATATAAATAAAGACAGCTATTTACTTCTGAAAATATTTAATGCAAGAAGAAATTATTAAACAAGGTTGTACTGTTTTATCTATGGTCTTATTGCGTCCATCACTTTAATCTTCTCATATTACTGTTCATGTTGTTAGATCTAGTCTACTTGTTTAAATCATAAATGTGTTGGACTGAGGTAAGGGGAGATACTGGGTTTCGAAATTTTGCATCCATAATTTAATTTATTTATACTAAGCTTTAACAGAGACTAAACTAGGTGGCTTTTTGTTCAACTTCAAGATCAAAGCACTACGTAATCGTAGGGGCAACGATCTCGAACGCGCCCAGGGTAACTCAGTGTGGCCAAAACAAAGGCCTATGTTGTTTCACCCATATTATTGGATGCGTCGTTTGACAGTTATTTAAGATAGGATTCCTAAGGAGAGAATATCGATGTTTTTATCACAAACCTTCCTTCTCTCGGCATCTTCTCTATTAGAGTTTCGATAGGCCAAGTACACGCCGAATAAAGCTTTCAACCTCAGGTTGAATCTCTATCAAATAAAACGCACAGAGGATTCGATTTTATTTACAAATCAGAACCGGAAGTACCATGTGGTAAACATTGAATGAGAAGTGAACTAAGATTAAGAAAGAAACTGAAGATAAAGGTAATATTTCAGAAGTTAGTTTTTATTTGTCAACTACTTCAAATAAAGACGCTTATTTAAACTTGCAGATGGTACAAATGGTATGTCAAAAATTGTTATGTCCATCAAATTTCGAAGGGGGGGGGGGGGGAGTTTGTACCATTTAATATTATGTTTAAGAGAAAAACCAGTTCTAAATTCCAATTATGTATACTTCATAATCTTCTTAGCTTTAAACGTTCAGCATTATTTCTTTACCAAATTGTTTACACTGATTACAAAGCGAAAATCTTCCTAGAACAGTTCATTTTATTAACTATACTAGTGTAATGTTTTTGTTTTACATGAAAATATGTTATTGTTATAAATAAAACAGAGATAAGAATTTTGTTTATCTGATAAGCCCTAATCATGGTACCTGATTAGTGCCCTAATCTTGGAGCCTAATTAGTGTCCTAATTATGGTGCTTATCAGATGCCCTAAATGTATCAAGTGTCTTGACACCTAACAATGGTGCAGAGGCCCTAATACTTGGAGCCGATTGCCCTAATAGATGCCCTAATGATGGAGCCGATTGCCCTAACAGGGTGCCCTAACGATGGAGCCTAACGCCCTAACAGGTGCCCTAACGATGGAGCCTAACGCCCTAACTAGGTGCCCTAAATCACGTTAGGTGTCAGACAAGGTATATAAGGAGAGAGAGTTAGTGAGTTGATATACATAGCTTGGATTTGATTTGTAAAACTACTCTTGGATATTATTAATACACTTGTTGAAACAAACTTTGTCGTTGTTCTGATGTTAGATCTATAAAGATCTAAAGTTCCTATCTTCTACACGGGATCCACAATATTTTGTGACGTGGGTATCAACAAAACACCCATAGAGAGAAAAACGTTACAATTGGTGGCAGCGGTGGGATCCATAGAAATTATTCTACGTGTAACACAGGAACGAGACAACACAAAGTTTGAAATGGAGACACCCATCGTAAGGAGGAGAATTACGCCTAGAAAGGTAGGACAGTACTTCGCCAGTCCAGCTCCTCTTAATGACTCTGGGATAGAGGTCAATGCAGGGTGTAGAACAAGTTTGCAGCCCACAAGTCGAGTAATGCCAGACAGTCCTAACTTTCAGGAGTTCGGGCAAAACTCGCAGGGTCTTTCTGTTCACAACGAGTACAATCCAAGGCCAAGCTTAAAGAGAATCCTATTTATTTGGATACTCTTTGCTTTGATGGGATGCTCCCTGATGATGATGACCTGGACCTATTTTCCAGAGAATGAGATCGTGCAAGAATCTCGAGAAAATGCAGTAATTTCTCTAATATCGATAACAAGTATGATATTGCTCGTTACGGTAATCAGAGTATTATGGAAGTATGGATCAGGTCTGCTGAATGCCAGTAAGGAAAGGGAAAATTCTTTGATATCCCATGATACACCCTATACTGGTGGTAGTGCACCTAACGCCCCTACAGATACCTATCAGGAATCTAAAGTTTCTGGGCAATCTGGATGCACTACTCCTTATTTGGGTAATCAGTCTCCTCAGCGACTTGGGTACAATTTTGAATTTCCTACTACTGACGGGACACCTACAAACAGTCCTATGACACCAAATGCTGGTCAACGAACCAACGAATATCCAGTAAGGAGGACCTTCTCAGGGGCCAATGATGATGTTTGGGATGAGTTTTTACACTATTTTGAAAACATCTCAGAATTAAACTCATGGGGACCCGAGAAATCTCGCAGAGTTTTGCTTAGCACCTTGCGAAGACAAGCTGAGAGCTATGCATATGGAATGCCCCTTACTGTGCAGAAAGACTATGAGCAACTTAAGGATAAGATGAACCAAAGATTCGGGCATTCTGCAATGAAAGAAAGGTATATTGCAGACGCCAAATTGAGAAGAAGACTACCGGGTGAGTCCCTGCGAGATTTAGGACAGGCCATCGAAGATTTGTACCGAAGGGCCTATCCAGGAAATCCACATTTAGTTGAAGAAAATGCTATACAAGCCTTCTTAGATAAGTGTGGACAATCTGAGGATTTTCGACTCGCAGTGAAACGGACCAGACCCAGGACACTCCAAGAAGCAGTTCTTAATGCGATGCAAGAAGAATGCTTACGAATTGGGAAAAAGAATTGATAAAGGAGACCAAACCAGGCTATAGACCTGTGTATGAGGTTGAAGATGGGGAATGGAATAATGAAATAGCAGCTGCGGATACTGCCAAACCTCCAAGCGCGGGTGACGGATTCAACAGTATCTATAAAAACATGAGAACCCCAAGTACTTGTACCAGTACAGGACCAGGGAGGAGGGGACGCCCTTACAACCCATGGTACCAGAGAGAAGGAGGAAGATTTCAACCAAGTGACAGTTCTCGAGACCTGAATTGTGTTGAAAAGAGAACTGTAAGGAATTATATTAATTCAGATGACTGATGCCGCAGGTCAGGTATCAGTCAACTTTATACGGCCTAAAACCTAGGGAAGAAAAGCCTAAATCAAGAAAAGGGGAAGAGAAAATGTTGAGAATAAGGCCGGGGAAATCCAAAGACTAATGTGAAGCTACCAGTGTGATGAACATTTGATTTAATCCAGTGACATTTTTATTTGATATAATTTTGTTGTTTTACTTTTTTGTCTTTATTGATTTTGTTTGGCTTTTGTGTATAAGGCATTTTTTTTTATTTGCGTAATGTGATTTTAGGTATAATTCATGTTCATGTTTTAATTGTTGATGACAGTGGAAGTCATGTCTCAAAAGGAGGGACCAATGTAATGTTTTTGTTTTACATGAAAATATGTTATTGTTATAAATAAAACAGAGATAAGAATTTTGTTTATCTGATAAGCCCTAATCATGGTACCTGATTAGTGCCCTAATCTTGGAGCCTAATTAGTGTCCTAATTATGGTGCTTATCAGATGCCCTAAATGTATCAAGTGTCTTGACACCTAACAATGGTGCAGAGGCCCTAATACTTGGAGCCGATTGCCCTAATAGATGCCCTAATGATGGAGCCGATTGCCCTAACAGGGTGCCCTAACGATGGAGCCTAACGCCCTAACAGGTGCCCTAACGATGGAGCCTAACGCCCTAACTAGGTGCCCTAAATCACGTTAGGTGTCAGACAAGGTATATAAGGAGAGAGAGTTAGTGAGTTGATATACATAGCTTGGATTTGATTTGTAAAACTACTCTTGGATATTATTAATACACTCGTTGAAACAAACTCTGGTGTTGTTCTTATGTTAGATCTATAAAGATCTAGAGTTCCTGACTTTATACACGGGATCCACAATATTTTGTGACGCGGGTAAAAACCAACACCCCATAGAGAGAAAAACGTTACACTAGTAACATTAACAGAGGTGCTTGGTTTCAAGATGTTCAGTATTTTGTGTATAATTTGTTAGTTGCCTGCTGGTGCAACCGCATGGTTCTGTAATGTTCATTTGCACCTCTCTGTCCATCTGACCCCATTTGCTCTTCTACACTTTTTTTAATGTTTGCATATGTTGCAGGTATCAATCAAGCTGATTTTTGATATGTGACTTGGTGTATTGAAATACTAATTTATTAAGTATTTTTAGTTTTAAGTGAGAAGAATGTCCAGAGGAGGATTCAGGAGTAACTATGGAGGGGGCGGGAGAGGGGGAGGTGGCGGCTTTAGAGGAGGAGGAGGAAGAGGGGGAGGATTCCGCGGGGGTGGAGGTCAGTAGACTCTTAACACATCAGTTACATATTTATACACCGAGCTAACAGTTTATCTTGATTACTACTACAGAGAGCTTTAATTCTGGAACAAAGGTATTATTTTTTAGTATCCTGAATTATGTTTATAAATTTGGTCAGTCCTATGGGATTGTTGATAAAAAATTGGACATATTTGTAGGAGGCAGAGGTGGGAGAGGAGGATATGGAAACAAATTTGACCAAGGCCCTCCAGAAACAGTGAAAGGTAAAACAGTAACTATGGTAACAACAGAGAGTATAGCTTATAAAAATGAATTTCTTTAAACTTTAATCTTTTCTTAATTTTAGTTAATTTTTAAAATCTGTTCATAGCTGCCAAAATAAAAAAAACTTAATCATTCACAACATAGAAAATGTTTACATTCTGATATTCTGTTAATTTCCATCTCTGTAAAAGAGAAGAGAAAGAAGACATTCAGATTACATGTAGTTTTCTCCAGTTTTAATCTGACATGACACAACCATGATGTATACACACAATACTGATATATGAGAGCTGTATTTTAGAGCTGGGGGAGTATGTCCACCCGTGTGAAGACGACCTGGTCTGTGTCAGCACTATAGAGGACGTTCCACATTTCAATGCTCCTATCTTTCTAGAAAACAAACAACAAATTGGAAAAGTGGATGAAATCTTTGGTTCCATTAGAAATTTTGTATCCTTGATTAATTCAGTTTTTTCTTGTATGAATTTGAGTTTATTGTTTTGGATTTAGTGATGTCTGTTTCTTATAAGGTATGAAGAAAAATATGTTTGTTTAGAGCATTTTTCTTTTTTCTGCCTCTTTCCTTGACCTTGTCGCAGTATTTCTCTGTAAAATTATCAGAAAATATGAAAGCAAAATCTTTTTCCAAAAGCACAAAGGTAAGTACTCCTATTACACAAACTCTAAGGTAAATGGATGATGCAGTAAGTGTATTTTATATAATTGGTTTGTTTTTATTTACAGTTATTTATAGATCCGTACAAGCTGTTACCACTCCAGAGATTCCTGCCAAAGCCCCCGGGGTCAGGAGGGGGGCGGGGTAGAGGGGGAGGGAGAGGTGGAGGACGCGGTGGGGGCAGAGGACGAGGAGGTAAGGATACATGTATATTTAGATTGATTATGACCTTTGAGTGGGACATGACCTTGACCTGAGGTTGTCTTTAATCCACCTCTGTATCTTTTGCAATGTAACATTTGTTTGAATGATGATGTCACATGACTTAATTTATATTAAATGAAAAAAGCTACAAATTATTTTAGATAACACGAACAATGCTATACATGTATATACGAGGGTTGTCCCAAAAAGTCGTAGACAGGGAACATAGTTTATTTTCTCTTTGCTAAATCAAATTTCTTTTTTTTTCCTAGCAAAGAGTAACATTCTATAATCATATATTTTAAGTTTCATGACGATACCACATTTAATAAGAAAATAATGAAAAAATAAAGAAACCATGTAAGTGTACATCGGCGCACGAAAGCAAGCGTAATTTACGTCTCTCATAACGTCATGGTCCCTTTTTCTGCAACATGAGGCTATTAACATCCAAATGAATATTTTTATAGTGAAAAACCACTCTTGACTAAGGTTATAATTTAAATTAACTACTGTCCGTTTTCTTAAATAGATTCAAATTTTAGTCAAAATCAAATTAGTTGAAAGATCACCGTACATTTTAGACAGCAGAGAATACACCTTGTTTGACGACGTTCATGACCCAGAACGTTCCCCGCAAATGTCTGCGTTAAACAATCAGAACCTCTACTTTACATGCAATATTAAACTATTTTTTTCGATATAGAGGAAAAACTATCTTTGAATCTCATACTATTAAAAACAACTTTTCTATTAAAATATAGTGTCCTATATAGTAGTCCTTTCTGTACTCTTTCACTGTCTCTGATGAATATAAAACATACCAAACACAATTTATTACATTTCCGTGCGCCGGGCACGCGTTCGACGACGTCAGTTTCATCAATCTCAATTCGAACAACACTTTGAAAATCATGCCACCAGTCGTCTGTTTCTAATGCTATTTATATGAAATTTTGACATATTATTTAGATTTTGATTCTGGTTTCAGTGATTAAAATTTTAGTTCAATCTTTTACATAGTACCAAAGAAATAAAAACAAATGTAAAAGTTATATGCATAAATTATTCCAAATTTTGGTCGTGCGCTGACAGACCATATCGGTCTTCATATAAATCGTCCCAATATAATTAATATGAAAGGTATATATAATTAATATGAAAGGTATATATTTAAGAATTCACAATTTTAAAGAACATTGAATGTTTTATGTCTGTGCAAAATTTGGTTAGTATTGGTTGCGTGTTAAAAAAGTTATTACCATTGTCTACGACTTTTTGGGACAACCCTCGTATATGATAAAATAATTTGAAGTATTAAGCAAATTTTTTCTGATTTCTCCCAAGAGTTCACTGCCACTTATGAATACGTAAAAAAACTTTTTTTTGTAATATACCCCATAGGATAGAGGCTAGTGTTGGTTTTATTATGCAACCTCTTTGAAAAAAAATGTCTTTAATATGTAATTTTACTTATTATCGAGGGGTACATAATAAATTTTTTCATGATAACAGAACTGGTAAATTGATCCAAGGTTCTGTATCACATCTCATTCTATATGGATCATTAGATTATCTTCACAGTATTTATCAAGTTTCATCTGATAATCTGTGTCTAACAACTCAGCATATCATGGCTCTTTGTGTCATGTGTCTATCATGATAATAGGAAGATATTTGTATGCATACTTAGCCTTAGATTTTAGAATTTTTTTTTGTTATAATATATATACAAATGCAAGATTAACTTGTTTTGAAATCTTCTCTTATAGGTGGCCGAGGCGGCGGCGGTGGTTTCCGGGGTCGCGGTGGAGGTGGAGGGTTCAGAGGTCGTGGGGGAGGGGGCAGGGGTCGAGGGGGATTTAGGGGGAGGTAACCTCAGCTGTGGACTTCCAGGAAATGTACATCAAGATTTATATGAAGACCTCATTAATCATGTCATAGAGACAGTTTTCTCAAATGGTCTGATGTGTTCATTTGTTAAAATACATGTACATGATGATTTTCATGTAACTGTTTCTTTTATATTTTCTGAAACATGTTTTATAATAAATAGTGATACATACCCTCTGTAATGTTTTATGATTTGTCAGTTTGTATTAGAGATCATATGTAGATACACACCAGCCATGATGAGTGATTTGTAGGTTGTCCTTGTGACCTCAAAATCTACGGAGTTACGCAGCACAGTTAAGGTTACAGTAAGGAGGCGGGGCCTAATTTGTACGGGAAATGTTTACTATGACGTCACGCATAATATCAGGTCTTCAAAATACCACAAAATGAAATTATTTGCTATTTCAAACAGCTGGATAGCTGTATACTACATACAAACTTACTACTAATTGCATTTTTGTCTTTTATTAAATACCACACAACAGTATATAAACGATGCATCGATCGCAATGCACTTGTCAATGTGACGTCATCACGCAAAAATGACGCAGTTTGTACACAGTGAGAGGCTGATCAAGTCACATTTTTTACAATGAAAAATGTCTTTTGTTCTCAAATAAAATATTATTTGCGGTAAAATAAAAAGCCATTAATTTGGATGCGATGTATATTTTAGTATTTTATTCATGAACTGTACGTGCATTTATCAGATAAGTGATACTGTCGTGTGTTTGTATGCAGATTCATTGAAAAAGTAATGGAAGGGCCCTGATAAATCGCTTTATTGCAAGGGCATACCCTCAATGTATCTTGTCAAAATTTTACACATAAACTCAAGAAGCATTAAAATATTTGAAAAGTGCTGCGAACCTCTTGAAATCTTGCAAATAAATCAATTATAGCTATATTTAATGTAGTTGACCAGCAAAATATTAAACCTGCCGTTCAACAAATTAAATTTTACCAATTAAAAAAGGGAATCTATATAGGTTCGCAGCACTTTTCACAAACTACATAAAGTGTTGAAAAGGATTATAAAATAAACTAAGATTTTTAGCTTGGTTATGCCCTTGCAATATTGAAATTTATAAATGACCTCTAAACTGCAAGTATAATTGCCAAAGTCATGTGACGTCGACATCAAATGACAAGTCTAAATAAAAAATCTAAATGTCCCCAACATGTATATTTTAACCAAATTACATTTTTTTGATATCAGTGAATTCGTAAAAAGATTCGCCCATCCTAATAAAGTATGTATTTTTTATCTTAAAAAATCGCCGATATTTCCATTTGTAACCTTAACTGTGCTGCGTATCCATTTCACAAGAAGAACCAGAGGACCAAGACTGAAGTCTGTCAAACCAAGGTTTCTCAGTCATTTGACCTGTTAAATCAGTAGGGTCATATGCTCGAATGGGGAAGTAAGGTATGTAGGAAGTATTGTCTTCATCATGTCCAATTTGACACTTACGTTTGACCTTGTGACCTCCTAATCAATATACAATTAATTACCCCTTTTGAGGTCAACATGGTGAAATAAGGACCCGAGACCTGGCCCACGAGGTGACCTGACCTGACCGAGGCCGCATAGCGGTCGAGGTCAGGGCAGGTCATTGAGGGTCCTTATTTCACCATGTTGAACTCAAAAAGGGTAATAATTGTTTTATTATACCGATGTATATTGAAAAGTCTATTTTTTCTTTGATCAGGATCAGGATTCGCTACACTCTGTATAGTGAAGTTGTTTACATTGACATCTGCAAGTCGTGTAAGTTTTTGCATCATGATTTTACTGATTAAAACAATATTTGGTTGATATACATTGTTATAACTAGTGATTACTTTTCCTCTGCACAGTCAAAATCTAACACAGAATTTAACTCTTTACAGACCCGCTTCTACATTCCATTGAACTGAATTGTAACGATATTTTGAAATGAGTAAACCGTTTAAGTTAACGATAAAATTTTACCGTATTCTGTATGGTAATGCAAAACAGACCATGCACAATTTTAAAAACATGTTTTTCTCGAATAATTATTATTTTATGCATTAACTTCACTCAGAAAGGATTTTTTTTTTTATTATTTTGCGGTCATTAATTATAATGACCGGGTCATTATATCCCACATGCAATGATTCCTAGGTCATTATTGCTGTAAACACTACCATTTGGAGTCATTGTTGTGTTTTAAAGTTTTCTTGCCAGCCAATCAAATTCGAGTATTACCAATAGAGGTATAATAGTAGGTGTTATTTACTCCTTGAAAAGGAAATCTGTGTGTTAAGGCAATTAGATCCAAAGATATTAAGCAGACACTTTCTTCCTAAGCATTTTGACATTCAATCGTATGACCTCAAAATCAATAGAGCCTCTCTTGATTTTGGGGTCATACGATTGAAGGTCAAAATGATTAGAGGTCATATATTCATTAGTGGCAACCAGTGAACCAGTAAGTCTGATGCCATTCAAAAAAGTTGTGAACATAATATTGATTATACAGTTGCTCTACCAACTGAGCTATCTTGCCATTCTGATTGACCTGTCTAACTTTAACATTTTTTCATTGCTTAAAGGTCCTTGTCCCTGAAGACACCAAACCAGGCTCTTCCTAGGCAGGTCTTTCACCTGTCACTTTCTGAGCATATGGCACCACATGTAATTGCCACATACCAGAACAGTATTTGAATCCAGGCCCTTTGAATCTCCAGTCAGGTGCTCTATTGAATACCTGTGGCTACCAGCTATAAAACCTGTCTGACCACCACAGCAATGGGGATGAACAGAGCCCCAACCCTGAGGACTGAAACTGCTCTTATAGCCATATTTTCAAATATTAAATAAAATCTAATTGAGCTTATTAAAACTGATAACTGCAATGGTTTGGGTCATGGATAGCTCAGTTGCTAGAGCACCTGACTAGTGATGCAGGGGTCCCAGTTTCGATTCCCCGTCCAGTTATACATTTTCTTCCTTCCTGTCACATAATGAATTTTAAAAATGTTCTCTAAATGTTCTATTTCAAAGGGGGGAGTGCAATCAGAGCCAACACATTCTCTTCCAATACCCACGACATCATTTTAAAGGGCCAAATACCAATGTTAAATACTTAAAATGAATACAAGATTTCTGAAGGAAAACAAGAGATGTTTGTAAAACACTTATGCCCCCCCCCCTTCCCCACAAATTGGAATTTCTCTAAGTCCAAAAGGGCATAACTCTGTCAAAAATGGTGTAATTATACCCAAAACATAACTTGACCTAGATATTCGTCTGATTAATTTGAATACTAAATTCCATTTCAATTTGTGCAACTTCTCAAAAGAAAATGAACGGAAACTGCAAATAATAGGAATTTTTCTAAGTCCAAGGGGCATAACTCTGTCAATTACGGTGCGATCATACCCAAAACAGAACTTAACCTAGATATTCATCTGACTAATCTGTATACTAAATTCCATTTCAATATGTGCAACCTCTCAAAAGGAAATGAACGGAAACTGCAAAAATATGGAATTTTTCTAAGTCCAAGGGGCATAACTCTGTCAATTATGGTGCTATCGTACCCAAAACAGAACTTGACCTAGATATTCATCTGACTAATCTGTATACTAAATTCCATTTCAATAAGTGCAACCTCTCAAAAGGATATGAACGGAAACTGCAAAAATATGGAATTTTTCTAAGTCCAAGGGGCATAACTCTGTCAATTATGGTGCGACCGTACCCAAAACAGAACTTGGCCTAGATATTCATCTGACTAATCTGTATACTAAATTCCATTTCAATATGTGCAACCTCTCCAAAGAAAATGAACGGAAACTGCAAATACTTGGAATTTTTCTAAGTCCAAGGGGCATAACTCTGTCAATTATGGTGCGATCGTACCCAAAACAGAACTTGACCTAGATTTTCATCTGATATACCTGTATACCAAATTTCATTTCAGTATGTGCAACGGTTATGAAGAAAATGAACGGAAACTAAATGGACCGACAGACCGACCGACAGACAGCAGCAAAGCAATATGCCCTCCCTTCTTCGAAGGGGGGCATAAAAATACACCACATCATACATTTACAAATTTTATTCCAATTTTCACATTAACAAATTTTATTCTAATTTCTTTCATGTAAAATAACTTGTAAAACTTCATTTTAAAAAAACATTAAACATCATTTTTGGAGGACAAAAAGCAATTTTATCATTATCTTTTGTAGTATCAGTGCAACAATATCTAATGAAATCTTATTGTTCTTGGGAACATTTCTTGATAAAACATACATATTTTACACCTTCGTAATTTTCTATACAAACTTAAAATTAGCAAAGGATTATGTATGCCCTGTCATTCCATAGCTTTCAACTTGTTATTAGGCCTAACTTTATTAAATTTCACCATTTCAAATATTTCCTCCAAAATACATGCCAAAAAATATGTTTTCATTATGCAGAATGGTCAAATAGCCATTTCCTGAGGCCTACACATGCCTATGCAAGTACAGATGTAGCCTTTGTTGTATTATGACGAGCGTTTTCTTTTCTCTACTTTTATCGACCACCAATAGGGCTGCCAGAAAAACAGAGCTTCATCACATATGGACTTTTGCCCGATGGGTTTGGTATGGATGCATGATTTGCTAATGCTAGAGCATTCACGGCCTCTTCTACATCTTTGAACTGAACTAATCCTGATGAACTTCGAGCACTGGTGGTAGGAAATTGTTTAATCTTCTCCGGACACTCTGCTCCCATATTAGTAAAAACTTCCTCCAAAACTTGCTCTGATAATTCCGGAGGAACATTGAAGTAATGAAGAACTTTTGTTGGTGCCATGATTCTGTTTTTGCTTGCTTGTTCAGGATTTGCATATCGATTATTTCTGCTGCCCATAAAGTCTTTGAAAGATGGAGTACCATCAGGTAACTCATAAGGATTAGGAACATCTTGTAAGAATGCCTGTTTAGAAACTGCAAGTGTTAACTTGTTTCCGAACAGTGTGATGTGACTGAGATTCTGAATGCTTCGCTCCACAGCTAATGAGTCTCCCATTTGAACCATAGCAGACCCCTCCTTGCTCTTTAGAAACTTCACTCTAGCAACATTTCCATACAGACAGAAAATGTTAAATAATCTGTCACAGTTAACATACTCAGGATTCAAACCATACACCATGAGTACCGCTCCTTGTATCATGGCTCCAGGAAGTGGTCCACCCTGGTCTTGATATCCATGCGGGGGCATTGGTCTTCCATAGCCACTCTCATCATGCATTGGAGGGGGTGGACCAGGTTTCCTCCCAAATCCTTCCTGCCCATACCCTCCCTGCCTCTGTGGCATTCCTCCATACCCCTGATTAAAGCCATCACCTTGGTCATACATTCCCCCACCAAAGCCCCCTCCTTGGTAGCCCTGGTAACCTTGATTTGGAGCTCCTTCTCTTCCATACCCACCAAACCCGCCCTGGCCCCCAGGACCTGGTCTTCTGTTGTAGGGAGCATTCCCACCTCCGGGCTCGGGTAGGAGGGGCATGTTTCTTGGTGGTGCTGCCTCACTGTTCAGGTTTGGATTAGTGTAATCCCAACTGTTTTGATCATTTTTAAATACATTCAGTTTGTCTGTTTTGGCATACTCAATTTTAAGGGTATTACAGTCAGAGTATATATCGGCACCATTTAAAGCTTGCTTAGCACGTTTGGCTGAATCTACATGATCAAATTCTACCATGCACTGCAATCCACTTTTTCTAAAGATGACAATACGCACCACTTGACCATAGGGACTGCATATGGTGTGCATGATGTCCACAGTGACTGGGTACTGTGGATTTAGGACAGTGACCAACAGGATGTGATTTGTTGGTCTATTGTCATCTTTAGCTCCTTGTCTTTGGATGCGCTGGCTGGTGGAGAAGTTAAAATAAGCTGGCTGTCCAGCCACAAATATCTGGCTTTCATTTGAGTAATTCACACAGTTTGTGGCACCTTGAATATCCTCAAATTCAACCAAAGCTTGATGTTTCTTTGGCATGAGCACAACATAATTGACTGTACCAAACTGCTGCACAGCTCTAGTCAGGTCTCTCTCCAAAATGTTGTCATAGAGACCTCTCACGTGAACAACAGGAGAAGGTGATGGTTTGATCGGGTCCTCACTTGATTTGTCCATCCTCATACGTTTGGAAGCATGATCTTCATAACCAGATGCCATGATTTCACACTATCAGCAATCTACAATCAAGAGAGTTTTATTTTAAAGTTCGTTCTCTATCATTTACATGTTCTTCTATTCATTTTAGATGTTCGGTTTTTTTTAAATACACTGCTGCAGATCAATTTGTTTAAAATCTGAGATGGATAAAATGTAAAAATGGATTGACAAGGATTTTTTTCTTATGACAAATGTATTTATTTAGGTTAAAATTAAAGTTATAATGCCTTAGGCCTAATACATTTAGGCACATTAACCACCAAATGGGAGATAAAAATCGTTCTGTGTGAATTGAAATCATAATTTCAGTTCACGGGGAATTTATATTTATCTGTACTCTGAACGAAAAAAAAAATTTGACGGCTTTTGTGCCACTCAAATAATTGGGATCGTCACCTATGTAAACAAATGTAATGTTTCTCTGTTTTAACTTTAAAAGAAAAATTCCCTCCGTCTCGCGCGTAGTTGAGCCTATCAATCGTGTTGATCACTTCATATTTCTGTCATTGTGCAAGTTTAATACCAATAAAATGACACAAACTTGGGTCAAAAGACTGAATTAACTACGGAGGCCCAAAGTGTTAATTTTCAAAAAGTAAAATAAGAGGAATGGTAAGAACGCTTTTATTTAGTTAATATCACAATGGCTTTTATTCTTTATAAAAATGCGATATGCAGTGAATTCATGTTAAAATAATCACTTGAAAACCATAATCTTGGAATAAAAACAGGAATAATTGCAAATGTCACTTTGTAAATCTTTTATTCAAAAATATTTAATAAATATATATATACAACATTTGAAACTAAACCACAAATGATATGAACCTGTAGCTTATTTGAAAACAAGAGGCCCACGGGCCTTATAGGTCACCTGAGTATCATGTAACAAGTTTCCAGCGATTGTATTTGCTTCGTGTTTTAATCCAAAAGCCATGAAATTCACAAATTTTGAAAGTGGCACCATTGCTTATCAAAGGGCAGATTTCAAAGCATTAATTTATTTTTGGTTCAGGTACCCCGCAGGGGCCCTGAAATTATCCATATTATAAGGCCAGCATTTTTTTTATGTGTAGGTTTAGTTATGAACATGAGAATAAAAAAGTCCCAAAGGAGAAGGAAATTAAAAAAAATTTGGATAAATCAATTATTAACATTTGTACATTTTGCTATTCTAATAGGCTCCTTACCACTGGACACATGATGCTTAGACTGCAAGCTATAACAGAGACCTAAACAATTCATACAAAGCTACCACGGGCAGTAAAAAAAATAATTTACCGACAGATACTTTTGTGTGTGTGTGCAACAAAGTCGTCAGCATTTTTTTGTCCTTTGCGGGTGAAACGTTTTGAATGTCACTCGTACGATGAATTTTACACTTACCATTTACCCGCCGTTTTACTTAAAACCGGAAGTGCTTTTAATTTTACAAATTTATTTTACATGAGAAAAAAATTGTTTTATTTTTTCTGAAAATTCAAAACCTTGAATTGAGGGTTTTAATAATAAAAATCCTAGCCTTAAATATGTAATTAGATCATTAGTAGGAGCAAAGGATAAGATGTTCAAAGAATTTTGCATTTCACTGTATAATCATTAGAGCCCCACCCTAAAACAAGAACCCCTGCCCCTGGGGCCATAAAATTCACAATTTTGGTTAGAGGCACCCTTAATCATAACTATGTACTTTTTATTTAATACCCAGGACCAGAGAAGAAGATTATCAAATAATTCATGTATTATCACTACATAATCAATAGAGCCCCGCCCTAACACCAGAACCCCTGACTCTGGGGCCATAAAATTCACAATTTTGGTAGAGGCACTCTTGCTCATAATAACTATGTACTTTTGGTTTATTAAATACAGCAGAGAAGAAGACAAAATAATGCATTTTCTACCTACTAATTTAGCCCCGCCCTAGCAAAAAACTCCTGACCCCAGGGCCATGAATTTCACAATTTTGGTAGAGGACTTATTGCTGATTACAATCATATAAACAGTTTGACTGCTTGATGTCCAGGAGTAAAGAAGAAGATTTTTAAAGATTGCATTAATTTTAGTGGTTTTGGCCCCAAATCAGGCCCCAACTTTCAAAAATTCACAATTTTTGTTTCCCTTCACCCATAGATGCTTTGTACCAAATTTGGTTGAAATTGGTTCAGTGGTTGCAGAGAAAATCTGAAAATGTTCAAATTTTCACGACGAACAGGTTTAACGGATAGCAATAGGTCACCTGAGTTTACTAAAGAATAAATGTTACATTCAAATGTAGGGAAAATGAATATTATAGCACTAAGTGACCATTACGAAAATTTCCAAAAACACAGATTTGTATTTTAAATCGTTTGAAAAGTTACTTCTCTAGACTAACACCTCTTGCTTAAATGTATTTTTTACCGAACTATACACAACAAAATAATTTTTTGTATTGTTTGAGCTAATAGTTCGGCCATCACGAACAGCTGTGGGTTTCGTTTTTCAAAGTTCAGAAATTCCACATGGAAAATTGACTAAATTGTATTAAATGTGCGATGAATATGTTAATTAAAATTCCCCAATGCCTTTCAAATGCGCTTTTGCTTTATTTCAATGAAAATTGGATTTGAATAAAAAAGACCACCATTTGGTTAAATAACCGATAAACACGTTTGACCACAAACGGGGGTTTTGACCATTTGGGGGGGTGTGCCCAACCTGTTAAAATTAAAGTTATAATGCCTTAGGCCTAATACATTAAGGCACATTTCAATGCGAATAAGGTGTGAATTATCTCCAGTTCAGCATTTATACTTTTTTTATCAAAACATTTGAACTTGTGAAGAAAATTCAAAATTTCTAAAAATCAAGCAATAGTTGTTTTTTCATACATTGTGTAAGTTTAATACTATAAAATGACACAAAGTATCAAGCTTTTTTGGAAGCCAAAAATTACTGTTATTGTAACTTAGTAAAACCTAGAGTTAATATCACAAGGCCACTCAGAGTTTCCATTCAACACCTTGCTGTTGAACTCCCGGCAAAGGACTTTTACTTTAGCACTTACTTGAATAGAGATATATTTTGAAACTGACACAAATGATATGAACCTGTAGCTTATTTGTTAGAATGCCCACCGTCCCACGCTATTGGATCAGGACGCAGCCATATTGAATGGCGTGTTGGATTGTGGGTAACTCGCGCAATAAGTCGATGCCCGTACGAAAAAGGAAAATCGTTTTTTCCGTAATGCAAACTAAAACTTGCTAAATTTAAACAAAACCCAACAAACTCAGCAGTAAAAATGTTCGACTGTGTGTGTATGGGATTTTTTTTTTTGCAAACCTAGCTTACAATTTTATTTACCGCGCCTTTTACTGTAAAATCGGGCTTTTAATTTTACAAATTTATTTTACATGAGCTCGCTTTCTTTTACCTGATAAACATGATTTTAATAATAAAAGATGCATACCTTGTCTGGAAATGTTGTACAGTATATTGTATTGAGTTCAAACAAAAAGCAAGCATGAACAGTAGACTTCCGGTGACATGGAATATTACAATGAGTTACCGCCCTTAAACTGCACTATGGACTTTTTCTTGTGAAGGACCAGGCAGAATTTATCACATGAATCTACAGTACTAATAGGCATGGGACAAATATAAGAAAACCATGGGGCTAAAACATTTTTTTCATTAAATACACATGGGACACAAACTTCTTTTCAATAATTTACTGTAAAAAAAATCAATGACTTAAAACTCAAACGAAGGCTAAAAGCAACATGAATCTTCGTTAATAGAAAATATCACAAAGTGGCAAGCATTCCTAACCATGCTAACATGGATTATGAAAATGAACAGAAAACAATATCGTTGTTTAAAATAATAGTCGTTGTACAGCAACTTTCAGAATTTCGGAGCGTAACAAAGATATGATTTGAATCAGATTATCTGAAAAACATCCTTATAGTTTTGTTGCAATAATCTCATCATTATCAAAATATACTCGGGGTACCATGGGACAGTAACTTTTTTTTTTTATATATATGTCTAAAGGCATGGGACGGATATTTTTTTTTTAATACGATTGTCATGGGACACGTACTTTTTTTAAAATGAGAATTTTGTTTTGTACTGGTCCCATCATTGTGATAAATTTTGCTTGGTCCCTGAGAATCAACCATGCACATAACATGGCATTTAATATTAAATTTTCACTTCGCAAATTTATGAACGAGAATGTATTAAAAAAAAAAAAAAGAATCGAAAAAATCCATTCACATTTATTTCTAAAGCAAACAATTATGCCAAAATAATAATTATTTCGGCTAAAAAGCACAAGTTTTAGCTAGATATTGAATATCAGAAGCGAATTCAAAGAAATTTGGTATTTATATCACAGGCACTTGTTTCATATACGGGGCACCCTATACTTATTTTTACCACAAGGTATGCCTGTAATTTACATACATATATGTGGAGGATTCAAGAATGATGGACTACATGTATAATGAATTTTTTTTCTAAATGAATTTTGACAATTTTTGTAATTCTACTTTAATTGTGTTCAGAAGTGCATTAAATTTGACTAAGCATTGGCTTAAACTTTCTGGTAGAGGCCAATTTCTTCCAGTACCATCTTTAAAAAAAATATATCATATACTATCTTACCATTATTTCACCGTACTGTAACAGAAATTGGGGGGGGGGGGTGTCAATTTTTAACCGAACTCCTGTGTTTTATGCGCTATAAAAAAATTCCGCGGAATCATAAAATAAATGTTTGGTGTAATAGCCTAGGCAGGCCTTCCGAGTGCTTGGAAGGCCCCCCTGTAAGCTATGTGTCTGTAATGTCATTTGATTTTTTTTAAAACAGTCTTTTTTTAAAAAACTGAATAAGGCAACTGAAAAAAAACGCACAAAAAGAAACAAATTACTGATAAATGCTGATACCGAAAAAAATATTAAAATAAAAATTTTAAAAAAAACAGTTACAATAATTGGAAAAGACACAACATATTATAAATATAAAGGTTATACATAACAGCCTGCTGCACCATATATACTTTTATACTAAATTTTTTACTGATACATGTCCTTAGTTTTATGTCTTTGGCATATATGCAGGTCCATGTACATAATTATCATAATTTTGTCATAACAAAATCATACAAGAACATTATTTTGTAAAATATTTATGTTACGCAATCATTTCTAGATTTGTAAAATAATTTTTTAAATGTAATAAGTTTGTTATTTTCAGAATAACTTCTGGAGAATGCAGAACTTAAAATGGCTTTTTGAGTATCAAGTTCTGCATTTTCAAAGACATTTGATTAAGCATATATCGTATATTTAAAATTTTGGATGGTTTCAAAAGTACACATCAACTTCCGGATTTCTCGTTAATTAACGGAAAAATATTTTCTAAGTGTTATTGGATTTTTTTAAAATACTTTCATGTAAGTAATGTATTTATTTTTATAAGTTATTCTTTTTTGCAAAGTGGTATCCTTTTTGTAGAGAGAGAGAGAGAGAGAGAGAGAGAGAGAGAGAGAGAGAGAGAGAGAGAGAGAGAGAGAGAGAGAGAGAGAGAGAGAGAGAGAGAGAGAGAGAGAGAGATCCCATGTAACCAGACAGATATTACATTTGAAAAAATATATGCCGTAATTTTATTGAATTCACAATTAATAATTCGCCCAAATTATGGTTCATATTCAACTGTACAACAGCATTCGTTTGATGGGAATTGTTACGTTTAGCCCCACCCCCAATTTTTTTCTTAATATTAAAAAAATGTACAATACATATATCCCCCCCCCCCCACACACATCGTAATGTTACGAAAAATTTAAATTAAGGGAATATGTAATATTGTATGCCAAGGAATATCGTAATATCTTTTTAATTTACAAGGTTTTTCTTAATATCAACTTTAAAGGTAAGAAAAAATACTCGTAATATAGCATGTTGTGCCTGAGCTATATTACGTTTAGCTTCGTAATGTAAGACAAAATTAAGCATAATTGAAATAACTAAAAAAATAATGTTAAAATTTTTGTACAGCGTGTAAGTTAATACATTTTGCCCCAATTGTACCGGAATCACGTGGTCGATTTTGGTCAGTGACGTCACTTTTGAAAATTGGGAAAATGCATAAAATATAAGTAACAATAGTAATGGGTGAGTGAAAATTTTGTATTTTTTCTTATATAAGAATTTACACGCAGGGATGGGAACAATTTTCCACAAAAAATCTTCAATGTATCCAAAAAAAGCTTGTTCACAAAGTGTTCAATAATTGGAAAAGACACAACATATTATAGCCGCAGCGAGCGTCGTACCGAGCTCTAACGACAATCAGAAAATTCATCTCCAACAATGAGATTTTACGGGATATAACTTGTACAACTTTCAGCAAAGGCTCTGATTCTGCATGCACTTGCCTTTATCAAATGCATACAAAACAAAGAAAATGCATGCATATCCACGGTGATTTGATGAAACCAGATACAAAAAATCAAACACATGAAACATAACAAGGAGGTTCTTTGACAGGCAAAAAAAAAAAAAAGGGAAGTAACTCTTAGAAGAGTTAGAAATTGCTTATATTACGAATTTTAGTAATATTACCAATTTTTTTCGCATTATACAACTATATTAGGCATTGTTGAATACCAGAAAAAATAGGCTATTTAAGTATTGTTTTAAAAATTGTGATAATTCTTCATTAAAATGTCGTCTGTCGTTAGGGCTGTCATGGTTCCATAATTTTTCTGTTCAGGTCGATACATCTTGAAGAAATTTTTTAAGGTTTTTTTCATTAACTTTCAGCACTGTTCAAATGGGTTTTCAATCATGTTACCATAGAACTTTCAATGTAAAACATGATTTGAATTATATTCAACAAAAATTTTATATTTTTTCAAAATCTAAGAAACAGAAACATAATGACTGGTTAAAATAAGTTTCCTAACTAGAAAAATAATTGAACCAAATGATTCAAATCACATTATTACCGTTTTTAATGGTAATATGGTTTTATATGATACATTTAATGGATTGTCTAACGCCATTTTCATGAAAAACCTATGATTTTTGTACAATTGTAGCACCAAACCAGATTCTGGAAAAACGTTTATATCGGAATTGTTAATCCAAATTAATTGTTCCGTGGTTGCCAGGTCATAACTAGCTGTACGTCATTTACCAACAGCCCTACTGGTTGTGCCGAAAAAGTGCAAAAAATACCGCGCAATAGCTTATAATTACAATTTCTAATTTTTCTTCCAACGGTAATTGTTTATTTCGTTAATCTTTAATTTGTGAATTTAACGCCCTTATAAACTAGTGTATTAAATATAAGATACTAGTATATATTGTATTTAACTAACTTTTTGGTGCTATATATATTCCATGACATAATTAATAACTTTAAAAACTCTCTTTTGTAAAATAATTCACCTCTCTAGATGTAATACATTTTATAAATAAAGGGTTATTTTCATGGAATGCAGAACTTAACTTTTTTTATTTCAAACATTTGATTAAGGGTTAAAATTCAATGGTTTCAAAAGGCTATGTCGGATTTGCAGGGATTGAAAAATAATTAGAATATTTTGAAAAGAAATTTAAAAAGAAGAAGCAATTGAAGCCTTGGTGCTGGTATCCTTTTTGTAAAATCTTGATACAGTTTGAAAAAGTTAAATTATATCGAACGATTCCTAGAAATAATAAAGAAGTTTTGCCAGATTAAATGTCAGATATGTTTGCTAATTTAAATGAATCGCCCAAATTATACTTGTCCCTCTTCCGTGTACAACAGCAGTCGTTTGATGGGAATTGTTACGTTTATGGATTGGTTTCTTAATTAAAAAAAGATGTACAATACATATATCTAGGCATTCTAAACCAAAAGTGAAAACAATAGGCTATTTAAGTATTGAATTCTGATAATTCATATTATTGGAACATTCCAAAAAATAACACACAATATGATCGTTAGGGCTGTCATGGTTCCATAATTTTTCTGTTCAGGTCGGTTCTTAATTTTTTAAGGTTTGGTTTCGGGTTTTTCGGTTCGGGTTTTCAATCATGTTAATAGAATAAAAACATGATTTGAATTGTATTCAACAAAAATTTTATATTTTTTCAAAATCTAAGAAACAGAAAATTAATGATTGGTTCAAAAAGTTAACTAGAAAAATAATTGAACTAAATGATTCAAATCACATTATAACCATTTTTAATGGTAATATACTTTGAACCTTTCGTTTTAGACGCCATTTTGATGGTAAAATAAAACTACAATTGTAACCGAACCAGATTCTGGAAAAACAGAACCGAACCTGACCGGAATTAATTGTTCAGCTGGTTCCAGGAAATTTCGGGTACCTGTGATAGCCCTGCTGGTTGTGCCGACCGAATACCGTAGCAATAGCTTATATTTACATTCTCTAATTTTTCTTTTCAATTGCTTATTTCGTTAATCTTTAATGTGAATTTAACGCCCTTATAAACTAGTGTGCTTAAGGTCAAGATCTAGTTATTGTCTTCAGACTAACT